GCAGCCGAGCTGAGTTGGGGATGAGATGGCAGAGGGCAGAAGGGATTCTCTTGGCAGGGGAGCCCATCTATATTTAGCACCTCCACACCAGCATGGTAGGGGTGCAAGCCTTGAGGCCTTAGAATAGAGGTCATCTAAGCCATTGCTTCTTTCTTGTCAGGACCACACCAAAAGCACCTGCTCAGATAAAGTATGTGTGCTTTTTAGAATACCTCCAAGTACTGAAACTAGATGTATGTGGATCCATTTAGAAGGTTGTTAGAGTAGAAAACTACAGGAGCTGGATGCCCTTATGGGGTCTTTGAACCCCTCCCTCCCCCAAGGCCAAGCCTGTGGTCCTCAGAATGCATGCCACGGCCAGAGTACCTCATACTCTTTCCCCACAGTCCAAACCTGGCCTGCTGGGGAGTGAGGAGGGGACAGAGTCTGCATTCACCTCACAGAGGCAGGGTCCTGGGCTGCCCAGGCGGCTCCTTTCCCACTGGGAGGCTGTGATTATCCAGGTTCCTAGGAAGGTGAATTTGAGCCATCCCTGGCCCCGTGGAGAGCACAGGCTTTTGCAAAAGCCAGAGGCATGACTGCAGTGCAGGGAAGGTGGGCCCGGTTTGTGCTAAGTTCCTTTGTTGCCTCTGCCCTCCTCCTGCCCAGCTTGTTGGGAGTCACCCAGGCAGCCTAGGTTCTCTCCAGCTGAAAACTCCTGTTCATTTCCTCCCAACCAAACGCACTGCTGCCCACTGAAAGTGCAGAGTCCCGTGGCGGCTGGTGTCTTGTCGACCATTGGCAGCCTAAGCTGGGAAGCCCTTCCTTCTGGCCACGGGCAGAGGCACTGCCCTGAAGCCCCTGCAGGAGGGAAGGGATCCTTTTCTGCCGGTGTGGCCAGGACCGTGTAAGGAGCATCGGAAGTATTGATGGGTGAAGGTGGTGGGAGTCCAGGGAGCCTGCTTATAGCCGTCGACTGTTGACTCCATTGGACGGGCTTGGCCACATGAGGATGTGCAGGTACCACAGATGGCTCTGGACATCTGCCATGAGCCTGCTGGACAGCAGCACGTGAAGGAACCCAGACCCTCCCATGCCTGGGCCATGTTGAACTTTTGGCCTGTGATTGAATGAGTTCACACAAGGCAATAGAAGTAGGGGATGCGTCTGCCTGGCAGGTCCACATCTGTCACTTTTCTCTCAGGCCCAGCCCTCTCCAGGCCAGTGTGACCAACCTGAGAAGCGTGCACTCCTCTAGCCCCAGTAACTTTTCTTTTTGTCTGTCTTCTCGCTTCAGTGATCACGGTGGAGGTCTGAAACGGAGAGGACCCGCCAGCAAGAAGGAGCCACGGAAGAGGCGGAAGGTGGATGAGGCACCGTCCGAGGACCTGCTGGTGGCCATGGCTCTGTCCCGGTCGGAGATGGAGCCGTGTGCGGCTGTGCCAGCGCTCAGGCTGGAAAGTGCCTTTTCTGAGAGGATAAAACCAGAAGCAGGTTTGTGTGGCCAGAACAGTGGCCCTGGGAGAGACCACCGGCGGGTCCCGGGGGAGTGGGCTGACTCCACCGTTGATGGTGTCGCTTTTGTTTCTCTCTAGAGAAGAAAAGTCGCAAGAAGAAACCCCCAGTGTCTCCCCCATTGTTGTTAGTCCAGGACTCTGAAACCACAGGCCGACAGATAGAGGACCGTGTGGCCCTGCTCCTCTCTGAGGAAGTGGAATTGTCTAGCACGCCACCACTTCCTGCCAGCAGGATTTTAAAGGAAGGGTGGGAAAGAGCGGGCCAGTGTCCTCCTCCACCTGAATGCAAGCAGAGCTTTCTGTGGGAGGGCAGTGCACTGACTGGGGCCTGGGCCACGGAGGCCTTCTACACGGCCAGGCTGGTCCCTCCCCTCGTGCCGCAGCAGCCTGCCCAGGTGAGTCCCTCCCCTCAGGCACATGGGACAGGCTTTTGCGGGAGGCTGGCGGTCCCAGAACTGCAACACTGGGTATCCACAGCCAGGTGATGGAAAGTCCAGGAAGAAAAGGCAGAGGCGGGAGGAGGCCAGAGGGGCCCTCGGTGGCTGCAGCTTTCTTCTCTGTCCAGCAGCTACTCGGTACTCTGGGTAGGATCAGGGAGGACCCTTGGTTTCCACCAGAGTGTGTTCCTGGAGTTTGTTGAAAATGCAGAGTCCCGGCTGGGCGCGGTGGCTCACGCCTGTAATCCCAACACTTTGGGAGGCTGAGGTGGATGGATCCAGAGGTCAGGAGTTTGGGACCAGGCTGGCTAATATGGTGAAACCCCTTCTCTACTAAGAATACAAAAATTAGCCGGGCATGGTGGCACACACCTGTAATCCCAGTTACTTGGGAGACTGAGGCAGAAGAATCACTTGAACCTGGGAGGCAGAGGTTGCAGTGAGC